CCAAGTTAGGTTCCTTGGAATCTGTGTTCTGTCAGCCATGAGCCCCTGATGGGTCTGGGGACCTGAGATGCTGCAAGTGTCAAGGGGCAGAATGGAGGTGAGGCTGTGGCTGGCAAGCTCTGCCTGGCAAGTGCCCATGCCTCTTGTAACCCCAGAATCCCAGGGTCCTAGTCACCATAGTGTGTGCTGTCCACTCTGATTTTGAAGCTGCTTGGGTGATCTTGTTCCATTTGCTTCATTTTTTACTTCTCCATTCTAGGTCTTCTGTTCCATTTTACTTTTCAATAATTTTAGACTTACAAAAAAGTTACAAATACAGTACAAAGATTTCCCATACATTCTTCATCTACCTTCCCCAAATGTTAAGATCTAACTACCATAGCACAATTGTCAACACCAAGAAATTAACATTGGCACAACACTATTAATTAAACTGCAGAGGCTGGGAACGGTGGCTCATGCCTGTCATCCCAACACTTTGGAAGGCCTAGGTGGGTGGATCCTTGAGCCCAAGAGTTCAAGACAATCCTGGGCAACATAGAGAGACTCCAACTCTACAAAAAAAGTGGAAAAAACTCTGGGCTTTTTTGAATTTCACCCTTTTTTCTCCTACTCATGTCCTTTTTCTGTTCCAGGACCCCACGTTGCATTGAGCAGTCATGTCCCCTTAGTCTCCCATCCGTAACAGTTCTCAGTCTTTCTGGTGTTTTGTCCAACTCCCCCCGCCCCACTTAAGAATGGGTATGATGTTGGGAAATGGATCCGCCCACTTTGGAAATGATGCAGCAGCTTGGTTTTGGAGACAGGACAAGAGACAGGGTTGGCCTTGGGCAGGGTGAGTTTTCCCTAGGGCAGCATGCACTATGGAACTTCTGCTCTATTCCCTTTTGCCTGGGGTAAAGGATGATACTGCTGTTGTGTCTGTGTGTGTGACCACAGCCCACTTTCCCACCATGAGCCCGGGAGCGCAGGGTGTCCTCCCCCAGGACTCCCAGTCATCACAGTTCTATTCAACTTTGGGCCTGCCTCCCTAAAAGCTCCCTGGCATGGGGTGGGTGGCCCTGCTATGCTGAGTAAGACTGCCTGCCTGTGGGAGGACAGTGCAGAAGACACACGTCTCATGGGACCCGGGTGTGGGCCTTGCTGGTTTGGTGGATATAGCTCCCTCTGACTCTATAGAGGGGTCTGTGCCCAGTTGACATCACGGCCGAGTTCTTCTAGGACTGGAAATTAGGAAGAGACTCAGAAAGTGTCAAGATTAATGACTGCGGACTGGGCTCTCTTTCCGTCCTGCAGGACAGCAGTAGACCCAAGGTAGAGCTGACCCAAAACTCAGGGGTGTGCATCTCGCAACTGTAGTCTGCTGAACAGCCGTTTGCCTGCCCCCACTGCAGGGGTTAGTGCTGGTCTAAGGTCCTCTAGGAGAGGTCAGTGTGTCAGGAGCCTGGTGGGGGAGAGGAACTGAGAACCCTGTCCACCCCTCACAGCCAGAGAAAGAAGCAGAAGCAACAGGCACATAAGCCTTTGGACACTGAGGCCAGTGGTCTAACCCAGGAGCTGTCCCACTTGCTTTGGGCAGTTGCCTCCTTCCACTTTGATCATCTTTTGGGCAGCAGGTTAAACCATTTTGGTGGCCAGGGACAGTGGCTCATGCCTGTAATCCCAGCACTTTGGGAAGCTAAGGCGGGTAGATCACCTGATGTCAGGAGTTTGAGACCAGGCTGGCCAACATAGTGAAAGCTCGTCTTTATTAAAAATACAAAAAATGAGCTGGGTCTCTTGGTGGGCACCTGTAATCCCAGCTACTCAGGAGGCTGAGGCATGAGAATCACTTGAACCTGGGAGGTGGAGGTTGCTGTGAGCCAAGATGGCACCACTGAACTCCAATCTGGGTGACAGAGCAAGAGCCTGTATCAAAACAAACAAAAAAAGTTTTGGCTATTGTGATCCTATAACTTAGGGAAGGGAAGACTGAGAGGTAGGGGGCTGTCAGTGGGTAGAGAGGATGTTACTGGCCAGGGAAGAGTGGATGGATGATGCAGAAGTCACAAACTGGTAGTTAAAGGGCTGAAACTGATCCTGCTTTTTTTTTTTTTTTTTTTTTTTGAGACGGGGTCTGGCTTTGTCACTGAAGCTGGAGTGCAGTGGCACATTCTTCGTTCACTGCAACCTCTGCCTCCCGGGTTCAAGCGATTCTTGTGCCTCAGTCTCCCAAGTAGCTGGGATTACAGGCATGTATCACCACATCTGGCTAATTTGCGTGTGTGTATATGTGTGTGTGTGTGTGTGTGTGTGTGTGTGTGTGTGTATAATTGATATGGAGTCTCATTCTGTTGCCCAGGCTGGAGTGCAGTGGAACAGTCTCAGCTCACTGTAACCTTTGCCTTCCCACTCAAGCAATTCTCCTGCCTCAGCCTCCTGAGTAGTTGGGATCACAGGCGCCCACCACCATACCCAGCTAATTTTTCTGTTTTTATTAGAGACCTAGTTTCACCATGTTGTCCACGCTGGTCTCAAACTGCTGACCTCAGGTGATCCGCTTGCCTCAGCCTCCCAAAGTGCTATAATTATAGGCATGAGACACCATGCCCAGCCAATTTTTTTTTTGTTTGGTTTATTTATTTATTTATTTTGAGACGGAGTTTCACTCTTGTTACCCAGGCTGGAGTGCAATGGCACGATCTCGGCTCACCGCAACCTCCACCTCCTGGGTTCAGGCAATTCTCCTGTCTCAGCCTCCTGAGTAGCTGGGATTACAGGCACGCACCACCATGCCCAGCTAATTTTTTGTATTTTTAGTAGAGACGGGGTTTCACCTTGTTGACCAAGATGGTCTCGATCTCTTGACCTTGTGATTCACCCGCCTCGGCCTCCCAAAGTGCTGGGATTACAGGCTTGAGCCACCGCGCCCGGCTCTGTTTGGTTTATTTTTATTTTTATTTTTATTTTTTTGAGACAGGGTTTCGCTCGTTACCCAGGCTGGAGTGCAACGGCGCAATCTCACCGCAACCTCCGCCTCCTGGGTTCAGGCAATTCTCCTGCCTCAGCCTCCTGAGTAGCTGGGATTACACGCACGCGCCACCATGCCCAGCTAATTTTTTGTATTTTTAGTAGAGACGGGGTTTCACCATGTTGACCAGGATGGTCTCGATCTCTTGACCTTGTGATCCATCCGCCTCGGCCTCCCAAAGTGCTGGGATTACAGGCTTGAGCCACCGCGCCCAGTCTGTTTGGTTTATTTTTAAAAAAAAACAGGAGGAACTCGGGGCCACAAGTGTCTTCAAAGTGTCGATGATCAGTATGTCCCTCAATTCACATTAATTCTCACAGCTAGCTGTGTTCTTCATCAATGTATGAGCTGAGTGATCCACCACTAAGACAATTTTTGTGTTTTTAGTAGAGACGAGGTTTCATCATGTTGCCCAGGCTGGTCTCAAACTCCTGACCTCAGGTGATCCGCCTGCTTCAGCCTCCCAAAGTGTTGGGTTTACAGGCGCCCCCATGCCCGGCTAATTATTATATATATATATATATATTTTTGAGACGGAGTTTCGCTTTTGTTACCCAGGCTGGAGTGCAATGGCACGATCTCGGCTCACCGCAACCTCCGCCTCCTGGGTTCAAGCAATTCTCCTGCCTCAGCCTCCTGAGTAGCTGGGATTACAGGCATGCGCCACCATGCCCAGCTAGTTTTTTGTATTTTCAGTAGAGACGGGGTTTCACCACGTTGACCAGGATGGTCTCGATCTCTCGACCTTGTGATCCACCCGCCTCGGCCTCCCAAAGTGCTGGGATTACAGGCTTGAGCCACCGCGCCCGGCCTAATTATAATATTTTTAGTAGAGATGGGGTTTTGCTATTTTGGCAAGGCTGGTTTCAAACTCCTGCCCTCAAGTAATCCCCCTGCCTTGGCCTCCCAAAGTGCTGAGATTACAGGCATGAGCCACCACACCGGGCCAAAAAGATGATTTTAAAAATGAACTGGGTGGTTTGAAGGAAGGGCAAGGAAGCCCCATTTGCAGGTCTGGTTGAGCAAACAGAAGTACATATAACACCTCAATTTGCCTTCAGGAGGGAAATCTTGCCCCATCCCCTTTTCTTCCAGGCATGGAATCCTAGTTTCTGGGATAATGAGCCCAGTGTCGAGTGTCAGCTGGACAGAGAGGAGGGGCATGAGGGATGGCCTTTGGTACAAATGACGGTGGAGATGGAAGAGGGCAGAGGAGGAACCATGAATGTGGGGCCCCCACCCTTGATCTACACCCAGATTTTCATCAAGGGCCCATCAGGATCAGGTGTCTGTGGGAGCCTCTTGTCTAGGGTGAACTTAGACTGCATTACTCCTTCAACAGTTCCCCTGCAACTCTCAAAGGATAGGTTAAAGCCAGAGGAGGGCCAATTGGCCCGTCTTTCTGTGCTTTCTTGGTGCCATCACTCGGCTAGGCAGAATACATTCTCTCGCTCCCTAACAGCCATCCCATGGGAGGCAGAGATGATCAGACATAACTTTTGAACCTCCGTCTCACTGGAGAAGGGAAAAATCCTACAAGGGAAATGCTCGTCCTGCCCAGCTGGGGGCTGGCACCTTCATTTCCAAATGATGCTGCGGACTCAGGTCAGTTTCTGTACTGGAAGCATAAAGCACATGGCTTGGAAATCAGCTCCGAGGAAAGGATCCTTCTTTGTGCCTGAGAGCAAAGCCAAGGGAAACATGTGGCAGAAAGTGGTCAGTTAATACTCCCCTTCTCTCCACCAATCCCCTTATTCAGAACACAGCAAGGCAGTTCTCTAGTCATGGAGTCCAAGCATGATGCAGTCCAAGAGACGCAGAGCTGAGGGGCTGAGGAAGAGGCTTCTGTGCCAAGCTGGATTCAGCTGGTGGTCTAGTATTGTCCACAGGGCTTCAGCAGTGGTAAGAAAGGCCCCCTGCTTGTTAACAAAGAAGTAAATGGCAGAGAACCTGGATCCATCTGAGACCTGTGGGCTTTTTACTTTTTCAGCCGTTTGAGGGTTGACTGGCTCTAAGGAAAAGCTGTTTGCTGGCAGACACAGGTGGCTGGTGACAAAGGGGAACGGATAGCTCAAAATGAGCCTCACCACTCCTGAACAGAACAACGATCCTGGCTGTGTCCTCTTGAGGGTGAGTAAAAGCACATGCTGTCCTCTACATGCTTGAAGCAGACTTGCCTGTCTCTTCAGGGTGGATGCTCTTCAGGGCCCTGTGGGGCTTAAACACATGTGCTCAGCTAGCTCCAGTCTTAATCTGCACCACATCACAATCCCTGACTTCCTAACAGCTCTGCAAAACAGCAAAACAGAGCCCCACTAAAATTTCAGGTTTATAGCATTTGCTATAACCAAAAGGCACAATCAACTTCTCTCTGGTGTACTAGGCAGGGGACAGAAGGAACCAGAATCTGTGGCCAGGGTCTTCTCTCGGGTGGAGCTGGGCTTCAGGACCCTCTAGCTGCCAGGCCCTCCCAGGAAACTGCCTGGCCCTTAACTTTGGGAAGGGAATTTGGCCCTTGGGGAAATGCATTTTTGCCAGACTGTAGCCTTCTGGAGGGGACTGTGCCAAGACTCCCTTGGCTCTCCTCTCTAAGCTTCTTACTAATGGGCTTTGAGACCAATGCCTTCCTCCAGAGGTTAAGGAGGCGGGTGGGGTAGTTAGCCTGCTGGCCGAGGAAGTCACTGCTGTGACTTGGCTCTGTGGTATCTGCTTTGTGTACAAGCAAAACTGGCTTATGGAAGAAAAAAGCAGGAACACCTGCATTGGGCCTGGCCCTTGGAGGTGCTCTGGGGGCTTGTGTCATGAGGCACATGTGGCCGTGGCCCCATTTGGGCATGTGGCCTGGATTTGCCGACAGTCAGGAGGGCAAGGTCCTACCTTGGTCCCAGTGTGCATCGCTCTAAGAGACCACAGCTCCCTCCTCTGGAGTCCCCTCTCCAAGCTCTCCAAGGGAAAAGACAAAGGAAGCCGAACTGCCAAGTTGCAGATTTTGCCTCAGGCAACTAAATTTATTAGCAAGAAAAAATTTTTGTCAGCCCAGCGCTGACCAACAAAGTACGTTAATAGAGGATAACAAATCTGTCACTTAATTCATAAAACATACCTCAAGCAGTTACAACTAAAAATAAAGTTGGATTTTTGTTTAATTTAAAAGCCTCAAAAATAACAAGCAATATGTTTTTTAAACATGTAGTAGACACAATTGTCTATTATACAATATACACTGTACACAAGTAGAGCTTGGGCTGATCAGGGGTGAGATGAAGGGAGAGGGAGAAGGTTCAGGATGTGCAGGTGTTATCTGAATTCAGATTTGAGTTGAAATGCTGTGTCATTTAGAAAAGGGAATTGCTAGAGTGAGAAAAAAATTCATATGCTCATCATCGCCCCCCCAAAACCCTCAACTGAAAGCAGGCATGTGGGGGGTGAATAACAAGGAAAGGAGAAGGGAGCAATTAAATAAATTTCTTTAAAGCACACACAGTACACAGTGTTCATCATTTGAAGTAGAGAGTATAAGGCAACGTTCTCCATAGAAAAAGAGGGATCAGGAGGAGTCGGTGGTTATCTTTACTTTTTAAATAGAGCTGGAATGTGCTGGAGGAGAGGTTGTGGCAGGGCTGGGCACATGGAGTGGAGGTGGCCCGGAGTCTCTCCAGAGGTGGGTGCCGAGCCCCAGGGCGTCCACAGTGGCCAGCAGGGCCGGGGAGGTGCAGGAGAGGGGACATGGCACGATGCGACTCCGGCAGTGTTGGGAGCGGGGATTGGGGTAGGGAGTGGGGGCTCACTTTGCTCCTCGACGGAGTGAAATGCATGTTTTTCCTTTGGAAATAAGGGTTCCCACGCGTCCTGGTTTAGAACGTCTCATTGGGCATGGCCAGTGTCCACAGTCTGGGCAGGCCGGGAGCTCGTGGTGAGGGGAAGGGCCAAGGCGGAGCCAAGGGGCTTCGGAAGGAGGACAGTACAGGGAGCAGAGTCCCTTCCTGTGGGGATAGTCGAAGAACAGAAGTGGGGCTGAGGGTGGGCCCAAGGCAGCCACAGGGCTCCTTTTCCACCAGGGGCCCAGGGAGGACACAGGTGGGGATTGCATCTTCAGGGCCTCCCACCGCAGTTGGCCTTACAAGTTCTTCGTGACCAGGTGGGTCTTGTAATGCTTGGTGAGGTGGTCACTCCTCATGAAGCGCTTCTGACACTGGGCGCACTCAAAACGTTTGTCCCCTGGGAAGAGGAAATGCCCATCACTCACAGACCCTGTGCATAGACCCTGTCCCTGCCCAAAAAGGTGGGGTGCATGTGAGGGACACCCAATCAAGCTGACATGGCCTTGTCACCACATTCTGCCCATCTCCTGCTCTCACATTTGCTCCCTGGTGCCTACTTATCTAAATCTTTTTTTTTTTTTTTTTGAGATGCGAGTCTTGCTCTGTTGCCCAGGCTGGGGTGCACTGGGGCACAAGCTATGCTCATTGCAACCTCTATCTCTATCTATGTTTAAGCAATTCTCCTGTCTCAGCCTCCAAAGTAGCTGGGACTACAGGTGTCCACCATTGTGCCCAGATAATTTTTATATTTTTGTAGAGATGGGATTTTGCCATGTTGGCCAGGCTGGTCTCAAACTCCTGACCTCAGGTGATCTGCTTACTCTGGGCATTCACTATAGCAATGTTTGCCGAAAGTGTGTGTGTGGACCACTGTGGATACCCAGGGCAATTTCAGGTAGTAGATGGATGAACTTTGTATTTTTAAGAGATGGGGGTCTTGCTATGTTGCCCTGGCTGGTCTCAAACTCCTGGGCTCAAGTGATCACCTGCCTCAGCCTCCCAAAGTGCTGGGATTACAGGTGCGAACCACTGTGCCTAGCCTGGATCAACCTTTTTTTTTTTTTAAAGTAGAGGTGGGGTTTCACCATGTTGGCCAGGATGGTCTTGATTTCCTGACCTCGTGATCCATCCGCCTCAGCCTCCCAAAGTGCTGGGATTACAGGCATGAGCCACCACGGGATCAATATTTTTAATAGTTTTGCATTGACTTGCCAGTACATAAAACTGTAACAGTGATATCTCACTTCGGCAGGCAGAGGAAGGAGGATCAACTGAGCCCAGGAGTTTGAGACCAGCCTGGCAACACAGTGAGAACCTGTCTCTACCAAAAATTTTAAAATTAGCCAGGTGTGGTGGTACATGCCTATAGTCTCAGCTACTCAGGAGGTTGAGGTCAGAGAATCACTTGAGCCCAGGAGTTCAAGACTGCAGTGAGCCAAGATTGTGCCACTGCACTTCAGCCTGGGTGACAGAGTGAGATCCTGTCTCAAAAAAAAAAAAAGTCTGTGGCTCCACTAGTCACTAGCTGTGTGACTCGGCCACCACCTCTCCATTCCTCAGTAAAATGGGCATCAACAGGCCAGGCGTGGTGGCTCACACCTGTATTCCTAGCACTTTGGGAGGCTGAGGTGGGAAATTACCTGAGGTCAGGGGTTGGAGACCAGTCTGGCCAACATGTTGAAAGCCCGTCTCTACTAAAAATACAAAAATTAGCTGGGTGTGGTGGCGGGTGCCTGTAATCCCAGCAACTCAGGAAGCTGAGGCAGGAGAATTGCTTGATCCTGGTGGGGCAGAGGTTGCAGTGAGCCAAAATTGTGCCACTTCACTCACCAGGACCAACTGAGGTATAAAGTGCTTAGTACTGTGCCTGGCACACTATGTCAGTGTTTGTTAAATAACTATATGGACATGGCAAAGTTACCAGGCTGTGTCATACAATAACAACTGTTCTTTTCCCATTACTTTGGGAAACAACAGTGATAATGGAATGGCTTGAAAATAATTTCTTTTTTTTTTTTTTTGAGTCGGAGTTTTGCTCTTGTTACCCAGGCTGGAGTGCAATGGCGCAATCTCAGCTCACTGCAACCTCCGCCTCCTGGGTTCAGGCAATTCTCCTGCCTCAGCCTCCTGAGTAGCTGGGATTACAGGCACGCGCCACTGTGCCCAGCTAATTTTTTGTATTTTTAGTAGAAACGGGGTTTCACCATGTTGACCAGGATGGTCTCGATCTCTTGACCTCATGATCCACCCGCCTCGGCCTCCCAAAGTGCTGGGATTACAGGCTTGAGCCACCGCGCCCAGCTGAAAATAATTTCTTATGCTGTCCCTGGACAGTCTGTAGCTCTTACTCAGTGTGGCAGTTCCAGGAGTGTCAATGTTGCTAAGGGTCATAGAGTGGGGATGGGGGGAGAGGCAGGAAGCTGACCTGTGTGGGTGCGAGCATGCCGCTGGAGCTCGTCACTCCGTGTGAACCTCTTCCCACAGAAGAACCAGTTGCAGACAAAGGGCCGCTCACCAGTGTGCAGGCGCACGTGGGCACGCAGCAAGGATGTCTTACGGAACGTCTTGCCACAGTCGGGGATATGGCACACATGCTTCTTCTTGCCCTGCTCTCCAGACCTGAGAGTTGGGGTGAGGGTGGAGTGGAAAGAATGGGAAGAGGAGAGAAAAGAGGTAGAGGACGGGGGCAGGAATGGGATGCAGTGAGGATGTGGAGTCAGGTCATAAAGCACAAGGAGGCAGGCGGCAAGGTGGCATAGAGCCACCAGCTCTTCTCCACCTGGTCTGTGCCAGCTTGCAGCCCTGGACAACTGTCCAGGAGGGGCTTGGAGAACACAGACCAGCCTTGTGGCTTGGCCCCTCTCCTTGAATTACCTCTTCTCCCCATCCTTGCAGTTGGGACACGTGCAGGCCATGCGGCGCCGCTTTTCCCCAGGCTGGGTCTCTCCGGCCAGGGCTTGTTCCATTTGCAGCTGGATCTGGGTGGGGCTCAGCCCACTGATGGTCAGGTTGTTCCCAGAAACATTCTGCACTGTCAGCTGCTGCTGCCCTGTGGGGACAAAGAGGGCAGAGTTCAGGGTGAGGAAGCCTGAAATCTCCAGTCAACCTTTCTGCCCTTCGCACATGACAAAGATGATAATCATAGCAGCTATTTTTGAGAGCCTGCTGTATGTCAGATACCATTTTAGGGACCTTGTATGTATTCACTCATTTAATGTTCATGACCCTATAAAATAGGTATTATCATCAGCACTTTACAGATGAAGAAACTGAGGCTCAATGACATCAAGGTCATACAGCTAGTAAGTG